AAAAATTAATATTTAAAATTTTATTAAAATTTTTTAAAAACTTATTAAAATTTTAAATATGCAGGCAAATTTGCCTGTGTTACAATTTAAGGGATTTTGTAGTGGTTAATACTCCACAGATCAAATCATAAGATATCAGTTCAACTCCATATAAGAGTGATTGAATAGAATTAATATAATATTTAGTACCATAACCTATTAAAAGTACTGTTTCTCATGAAAAGCCATTTCACATACTGATCCAATAGACATTGAGATTGTGATTTTCAGAAAAGGTGTTATAGTGCAACGATTGTCTGGTTGGTATTATAATGATTATCAAAAGTTGTAAGGTGTATAAGGTGTTTGCTTTCGATGAGTAAGTTTGATAATTCTTCTCCTAATATCTGATGTCTTTCACATAAATCCTTGCTCTAGTCTCATTCCAATTCAGTAATAAACCAATCTGGCAATATTTATTCCAAGAAGGCTTCTGGCTATAAGTCCTATTCCCTGCAATATGTAAGTTAGTGTTCAGGCAATAAGCACTAGTTATAAGTACTTTGAATGTTCTTATGTATCATTGGATAAATAAGAAATTAAATAGTTAGTCTAGCTACAGGTAGTGGTAAAGGGATTTATTTCTAATAGAGCAAACAGTGATTATGTAACTTTATTTGCCATAGATATTATTTCTAGTGCCCTCTTTTAATTTTCCTTTAATTTTCTCAATTAGAAATAAAGCTATTCAATTACTAGTGAAAATGTATGTTACTGGTCCAACAAAAGATTATCTTTGTTCAGTAGATTTGTCTTTATATCTAATATAGTTAGAAACAAGTTACAGTAAATATCATTATTTAAAGCAATCCTAATAAGTGTTGGGTATAACTGATAACCAATATGTTATAGTATAGTCCTAGATAGTAATATTAAAAGATATATGTATATATTGTTATTAAAAATAAATATTCAATTAAACAATTAACACTGGTGCACTTTAAAAAAAATAATAATAATTATAATATCAATTATATTATATTATTTATATTAACAAAAGTTATGTTTTTAAGATCAATACTAGTTCATAAGCTAAACATTTAATTATTTTTTAGATATTTGTTTTGTTTATATAGATCTTATAGTTTAAGCAACTCAGTTTTAGTTTTAGTAATTAATTTATTATAGTTTTAATTTATTTTTCTTTTCAATTTTCTTTTACTTTCTATTTTTTTTACATCTAATTAAAAAACTCTAAGTAAGTAAATATAGCTGCTTTGCTATATTTAACATATATAATATTGTTTTAAATTCTTTTCAATATTAGCTAGATATAGATATATAAGCAAGTTAATATGTATTTAATATATTATATATTTTATATTTAAGAAATATTATTTCTTTTATTATATGTATATATAACACTATAATATAATATAATAAATAAAGAAATAATGTTTATTTATCAGAAAAAAAACAAACAAACAGAGATTATACAATATATTAATCTTGATTCAATATTTTTGAAATTAAATTAATAGTAATAAACTAATATAAAAATAATTTTATATAGTCTAATAATATATAAAATAGTTTATAGATAGTAATTTCTATAATATAAAAAATATGTATATAAATTAAATTAAATATTATATTAAACAAGATTTAATTAATTGATTAAAAAAAAAACAATGATTTTTATTTTATATATTATTTTTTTAAAAAGAAACAATATTTTTATTTTTATAATCTTATTTAAAAAGCTAAAATAGATCTAAAAAATTTAAAATAATTAATAAAAATAGTTAGATTATATTGGCAACATGATGGTCTGGATATTAAGAATTCAAGAATTATATATAAATTTATTAAATTTTTTAATAGATATATTATAGCTTGTAAATAGTTTAGCTATAAACAACCTCGACTTGTAACCTGATTAGAAGTATATATATATTAATAATAAGCATATATTCAGTAAATACTGTGTATACAGTATATACAATATGTTTTTAATACTTTCAATAGTTAGAATACATATTTTAGTATTTAAATTTTAAGGTGTCATTGTTACAATTTTTGAAATCAATGACGTAAACCGTTATTTTGTGACTTACCGATTTTGTTAATTCTCACGAGTTACATCGATCTCAGATCACTACACGAGTGGCCTCACAAGAAATGGACGAAATAGATAAGAATAAGCTAGAGGAGATTTGCCGGTCGATTGTAAACGCGGCTGATTTGACGTAAGAATGATCCAACGATTTATACATTTTAATTAGGCGTTCCCTAATTATCTTACTAACTACTTTACTTGAATGTCTCAAAAGAGAGATAACTATGAAGCAAGTTAGACGAGCCGCAGAATCGAGACTTAAGCTAAAAGAAAAGCTCTTGGATAATCAACCATGGAAGAGTATTATCGAAGAAATTGTTAACGAGACGATAGAGCAAAAAGTAAGAAATATCATTATTTGTTATTTTTATGGAATTTTCCCGTTACAAAACTAAACTTCGTCTTCCTTATACGAAGGATCAGAATGACGAGAAACCATCTGAAAGCTCAGAATCTATGAAAAGGGGAGAACCCCTTAACATTTCTAAGAAATCATCCGATGCAAAGAAAGAGTCGGTGAAATCGAGTAAAGCAGTTCAATCTAAAAAGAAAAAAGAAAAGTTTGATGAAACTAAAAATGAGATCAAAGATGAACTCAATGATTCGTCAACGTCAGTATTAGAATCTCAGGGAGGTGGGCCATTTGCAGAAATATTTAAACCAATGTTGGATAAGTCATCCTCAAATCACAAGGCCGAGAGCAGACTTAAACAAAAATCTGATAGAGAAAGAGAGACAAATGATTCTGGCACCACTCCTCCAGTAAGGATTAAGATTGAAGATGAAACGTCAGAAATATCAATTAAAGAAGAACAAACAAATTCGGATCAACCGAAGAATGACGAAATGGAGACATCTTGTTTAAGTCCAAAGACGGGTAATCTAAAAGCTGATGCTACCGAATCCGAATTGTCACAGGTCGAGAGTGAAGTCACTGTTTCGAGCAATATAAAACAAATAAAGCATTCTAAAAAAGCTTACAGAAAAGGTACCACGTCCTCAGCAAAAAGTCGAATTAATGATGACATCATGGATACAAGTGATGATAGCAAATCGAACGAGTCAGATTACGACGCGTTTGATCCGAATAGTGTGGAATCAGGCGTGAAAAAAAAAAAAAACAATCAAACGAGACGTAAGAACTTACATGAGGTTGATGCAAGTGAAGATAATGAATATAGTGAAAAACGAACAGTTCATAAGGATGACATTAATGTAAAATCTGAAGATATCTTAAGCTTGGTAACTGAGAAGAAACAAAAATCTTCACAAAAGACGTCAAAGAAGAGACGCGCCTTGATTCGTGATTCAGACTCAGAAGCTGAAGTCAGGGAACGGTTAAACCCGAAACGAAGAAATATTTCTCAGCGAAAAAGTATAGTTGAAGATGGTGGATCGGTTATGGCACTAGAAAATAAGGTAGCAAAAGAGTCGGATCAAGTTGAGGTCTTTATAGATTCCGTAAAATCCAAAAAGTCCTCACTTATTAGAGCAGGAAAGAAAAAAAGTCGTGAAATTGAAGTGATTATCGAGAAAGATGCGGCAGGAGATTCGGATAGCACGATACAAGGTGATCAGGTGGAAACTGGGGAATTAGAGGGCGGTGCGAAGAAAATATCTGATGAAGATGCAAAAACACAGAGGTCGACGAATAAACATACAAGTTCTAATGATGATTTGAGCTCTCTCGAAGACGAAACACCGCCAAGAAAAAGGCGAAAGACTGTGAAAGTAAAAAACGTTGCAGTTGACACGGTGTGTATTTTGTTTTATAAAGATCGTAATTGCGGGAAATTGACGAACAATATTTTATCCTAAACCTTATTTTTAGGCCGGGGAGAAAGACGAAGAAGCAACTATTAAGGAATTGAAGACGTTTATCGTGAAGTGCGGAGTGCGAAAAATCTGGCAAGTAATTTTCAGATCACGTTAGTTGGTTTCCAATCTCATGTGCATATTAATAATTGTGATTCATTTTTTAGGTCAAAAGAGTTGGCAGGTTGTAACTCGGCTTCAAGCCAAATCCAGAGATTAAACCAAATCCTTAAAGACATAGGGATGAAAGGTGGGCATCTTTACTATTCCGGATAGGTTAAAGATTTATGTTCCTAATACATTATTATTAGGTCGACCCACGCTCGAAAAATGTAAAAGGATTTCTGCGCGCCGAGAATTAGAATTAGAAATGAATGCTATTGATGTTGGTAATATCATTCCTGATGATGAGAAAGAATCTCGCAAGTCACGAGCCTCCAGGGGCATATTTAATCCCACGGGTCGTCGTGCAACGTCTCTTGCACGTCAATCTTCGGTATTTAGCTATAATATGATAAGTTCATTTCATTTTATGATTCAATTCATTCACACCTAAAGAGTATAGGAGTCAGAAGACGACGACGACGCAGAAAGTGAAGATGATGGAGATAAGAATGAAGAAGATGAGGACAAGAATGAAGAAGATGAGGGCAAGAATGAAGAAGATGAGGACAAGAATGAAGAAGATGAGGACAAGAATGAAGAAGATGAGGACAAGAATGAAGATGAGAACAAGAATGAGGATGAGAACAAGAATGAAGATCCGTCTTCGGAAAAAAGCTGATGACGACAAAAAATATTTAATAATTGATCAAAAATGTAAAGTTTGAAAGTCGCTTCTGCTTGCATTTTGCTTTCACTTCATTTAATGCTTCCTGCCTCATGATGCCTTGCGTTCATCTCCACTTCACTTGATATTGTCAATCATTACACATTTTGCAAAATCATTATTCGGTTACAAACTTTTGTTTAATAAACACTTGATTACGAAATTATATGCTCTCTGGACTGCTTTATTGTTAATGTTCTTTTTCAATTATTTATTACATTGTATCCAATCCTCAAAAAATTTCTACCTATGCATCAAGATACTTAATTTGATTGTAAAAACTAGTCCAAGACCGACTTCCGATCAATGGTTAAGAGATTTCATTCTATTCCGGTTGGCCAACATCATGATGGCCATGCAAGAAGTAACGAACCCAACAAATTTAAAAAAAGCCGAACGGGAAATTTGCCTTTCTTCTTCGGGCGTTCGAAAAGAAGAAAAGATTCTTCGTAGATTAGGAAAAGCCATTAAAGCACGGTTTCTTTGACGTATTTGATTGCTAGTATCCTTAATTTGTGTGAAATGGTTTTCCCGCCAGATTGGGAAGTTTAATATAAATGCGCATAGCCTAAAAAATTGATCAGCCAATAGGAAGCGTCAGGAAGAAAATCCCACGCTCACTCAACATTACGTAAATTTTATTTATAAACATCTTGGCCATATTTAATAAGATTAAAATCATATATTAGATAATGTCGTTATTGGGTTCTCAATGTTTTTTTTTTTTTAAAAAAAAAAATCATGTTATTAATTCAGAGTGGAGATGGACATGCACTTGAATAAAAATGGCGGAATTCTATAATGAAAAAAGCAAATCCGAGAATAAATTGCGCTTAGTAATATTTAAATATTTCAAAAAATGCCCTATCTTTTTGGTCAACTAAAAAGAAACATGGTTCAGCTTAACGAACAAATATCCCATGGTTCTTTTTTTTTTTTTTAAGAGATAAGTGGCCATGACGGCAGAAATGACGCTAGTCGCGATAGTGGTCTACTGCTATTAAGTCTTGGCTCTTTTTTTTCGGAAAAAACTTTTGTATACAATATGCACACGAGGAGGTCACGGGAACTTTCAACAAATAATATTTTCTAGCGGTTTAATATTCAGTAGAATACTTTTGGAATCATGTCGGAAACTGATGTTCATCAAAAGTTCAATCTCGATCTTAAAAATAACATTTTGGACAGTCAGACAAAGAAACGGTGAGCTTGCCGAAATTTGATTTTGCACCTTTCTCTCCGAGATCCTTTTTCAAACTTTTTTTTTTTTTTCACCAGGTTAAAAAATTTGTTGACTAACAGACTCAGAGACAGTGGTTGGACAAATAGTGTTAGAAAACGTTGCACAGGTAGCTAAAAGTGATTGTTCTTCTATCTAAAAACGAAACTTTAACTGTATTTTGTGTTCATACTTTGCAGAGCTTGTTAACGCTGAGGAGAAAGATAAAACCAAATTAGGATATTTGATGGATAATTTATTGCCGTATGGTCGAGGTAGTAATAACTTGACACTTTTTTATTCTTTTTAGGCTTTAATAAGTAATTTTAGGTTTTACTTTTAATTAATTTAGAGAACATTCCAGAGGACGTGAAAATCGAGTTACTACAACAAATTTCTGATTTATTGGACTCAAATATACCCTCAATAGAAGAAACTTAAAATGAATTCTTATTGTTATAGTTCATTGGTTAATGAGATGTGACAATTAAGAAAAAAATTCATCTAAAAGATTAAAAAGATAATTAAGTTGATAAGAATCCTGAAAAAATCAACATAAAATGATAATCCGTGTTCTTCCCGAGTTAAGTGGCACACTTACGTGGTCATCCAATAAAATCTATCATATGATCCGCCCTTTCGTAGAATTCAAAGTCGTTATCGTGAAAATGATTTAAATAACGTCACTGTATAGAAAATAATTACTCGTAGGTGGGGCGTAGGTATCTTGACGCGTGGTGATTGGCCGTGGCTTACTACACATTAACGCTTCCATCACAGAGTCCACCTCTTGTTCTGAATCAATTGGTCCGTCGTCTTTTTCGGAGACTTCATTCTTTCCATCTTTCTTACCGTTCTCTTGTTTATTAGCCACGCCGTTATCTTTCAAGTTGTGATACCAATTAGCATCCCAATTAATAATTTCAATAAACTCAATTCATATATTTACTTTGCGGACGGCCAATAGACTTCTTTTGATATTGAGCTAACAGTATGTCGTAAAGCTGTGAACGACCTTGAACCGCTCGTTTTAATGCCATGGGATGACTTTTACACGTCAATGACCGTGTGCACGGCGTCGTACTTGGTGGAGCAATGACACCACATTGCTTATCTAAATCAATGGGCCCTATGAAAATAGAATGCAACAGCTCTAGAACTCGACCAAAAAAAAGAATACCAAATAAAAAGAAAACAATGAGAAGAAAATCACACCCAAGATTTTTTACCCTTATTTCGTCCTGTGGTTTTCTTCTTCTCCTTCTCCTTTTTCGGCTTTTGTTTCTTTTCAGGTGGCAATTTTGTGCCCGAAGGCGAAAGAGATTTGTTCGATATTGATGGATCAGTAACTTCGACTGAAACATCCAAGGCCCGCATTAGCCTTATGAGTAACCGAAAGTTCGGCAATGCACGATCTACCCACCTTCGGAATTAACGGATCTCTTGCGTTTTTTATTCGAATTGCAGGTTTCGGCTGTGCTTGCATTATTATTTTTGGCGTTCTTGTTTGCGGAGGCTTCTTGTACTGGCATTTTGACCGTTGCTGCAAGGGAATTCTCTCGTATCTTTTCACACGTCTCTAGATGTGAACGAATAAAACATTGATTTATCGAATACAATGAATTTTCTTTGTCGTGTGATTAAAGGCCTCCATACCAGTATGTTCAATGAAGCTTTGCGGTGATAGTTTTTTCGAACATTCGTTGCACTTCAAAGTTCCACTTTCGTCTTTCAGAGGATTGCATCCGTAAATCTTCATATGTATTGAAGGGTTAAGTTTATATTATAATAGTTTATTGCAATTGAAAAAGAATTCTTTATGAAGGATATCATCATGCTTAAATCTGGCCGCCGCCGAAGGAACCTCTTGAGAATCTGTATTAGCCTCATTCTCGACTATATATCAACGTTTAAGAAATCTGAATTAGATCGGAAAAGAATTCAATTCTTCAGCTGACACCGAGTAATTAAACCAAGTTCATACGCTCGTCGTCGTTTAAAGTTGCTTCTTTAAGTTCACTCCAGGTCGAATAATTCGTTAGTGGTTCTTCTTTCACCTCAACATTTGGAGAAAATCTACGTTCATTCTGACCTTCTTCATCTTTGAAAATAGACAAGGAGGTGGATGTAATCAAAGATTCCCAACTGGAGGTCATAGCAGAGAAATTTGAGGTTGTGGAAAGTGTGTGTTAGAGTGAACGATACGTACCAACGTTACGTACATATATGTATGCTAATTATATCAAGAGGTGATTGGTTGACTAAATTAGTTACGTATGTTTCATTTCCATTGGTCCGGTGAGGCATCAAATATACGTTCAGTCGTGCTTTTAAAAAACGTTTCAAGAAACTCATTTCTCTTTTTCCTTCAGGAGTATTTACCCCCGAGTCTTTGTTAAGGCACTTTATTCAACCGGTACCAGTGGACACCGACTTGTAATATAAACTACTTACATAGAGTGATTGGTTTGTTCCTGTCAACGAGCATGATCTTGGAGGAGAAGATTAAACAGCGTCGTGTAAAAGTGTATCAGCTGAGCCGAGAGAGCGAGTGGATAGACAAGGGCACAGGCTTTTGCACTTGCTTATGTAATGAGGTAGGATCTTTATAGTACGTGCATGCTTCAACTGAGGCTGCGCAATTTTTAGTATGGAATCCACACCTTTAAGATTGAACCACTTTTAATTAATGCCGTTTGGACTTGATCTTGCGACCGACCTTTATCTCAATGATTCATAGACAAAGGATGATGCCTATATCGTCGTACATTCAGAGGAGGATTCGACATCCGTATTGTTACGTTCGCAAATACTTAAAGACCAAGAATATCAGAAGCAGCAAGGTGTCCTAATCTCGCATCAGTTGAACTTTTTATTATTATTAACATGATGTGTTTACTTGAAGCTAATTTTCAATTTCGCATTAGATACTTTGGTGGTATGGACCGAGCCCACTGGAATGGATTTGGCGTTGAGTTTTCAGGAAGCCGAAGGGTGCACGGAAATATGGTAACAACACTAATATATGTGTCTTGCATTTTGAGTTCGTGGTCATTAACCGAACTCTGTGAAATTTATAAGCGATTTCATATCTGAAATAAAGAATCATATGAACCTGGAAAATTCTGAAGGTAAATAAAATAATTGATTAATCATCGTTCTCCATCCCATTCGCATTTCTGTCTTCTCTAACAAATTAAAACTGCGTCCTATATTTAGATATAAGTTCTAGCCCATTTGATTCTGAAATACAAAATATGACCATCAAATTACCAGAACCTACTTTGGCCAATTTGCAAGACATCGAGCTAATGATTAAAAATGCGAGTCGGTCACTTATCGAGAGAGAAAAACTGGCGTCGTTTATCACCCAAGTAGTTGTTTCTTTTTCATTCATCTTAACATTATGTGATAATAATAATTGCAATTTTGATTAATACGATGCTTTTGATTTCATCTCTCCAGGATTATATTTCAAAACTATTTCCTTTATTTTCTACATGCGAGGATCTCGAGGATCGAAATGATCTGCATCGGTTGTGCTCTATTATGAAAGGAATAAGTATGTTTTTTTTGCATGAATTATTCCCGAATTTTTGAATTTTTCATTTGCGCTGACACTGACAACATTACTTTCTTGATGTTGGTATGAAGTCATGTTACAAGACAGTGAAATTTACGAATTCATCTTGCGCGACGATGTGATAATGCAAGTTGTTGGAATGCTGGAATGTAAGTTCCGGAATATATATCTCCCGATAATATAACAATGCTAAATTGATCATGATCTTTGAAATATGTTATATTGATATGAAGATGATCCCGAGTTTCCCAATTACAAGGCCAACCACCGACAATATCTATCCGACAACTCGAAATTCAAAGAAGTAAGACCTGGTCTAGTTCTTGAGTTTCCAGATTAAAAGAGCGATTAATTGTAATAAGTCTATTCTATTGTATATTTTAGTGATCGTCTTGTTTTTCTTTTATCTTAGATTGTCAAAATAAAAGACAAGGCGATCGAGGCTAAAATACACGAAACCTTCCGGCTTCAGTATCTTAAGGATGTCGTATTTGCTCGAGTGTTCGATGATCCGACCATTCTCTCTTCCCTCATTTTCTTCAATCACGTTGATATATGTAAACACATTTCGCAAGATGACGAATTTCTGGCTGAACTCTTCAACATTCTTAACGAGGAAGGTGAGGATTCAAAACGTAAGCGTGACGTTGTCATGTTCGTTCAACAACTTTGTTCTATCGCAAAGAACATTCATTTTCACAATAGAAAAGATTTATACAAGTATGTTATATTATTGTTCGACTGTGTGTACACTTTTTTTTTTATTTACCCGTTAACTAATCTCTATTGAACCATTCTAGATCGTTGGCAAAACATGGATTGTTTCAGATCTTTGAGTATTCCCTGGTGGATGAGGATCCATCCGTGAGAACGACTGGTGGTGAAATATTAGCTTTTCTCTTGGACACCGATGCTAGCATAATTCGTTCTTATATTGTCAAGCAGGTTGATGAAGGAAAGAAGACTTTGGTCGAGATCCTCATAGAGAGATTTATCCAAGATGAGGATTTGGGTGTTAAAGCGCAGTATGCCGAGGCATTTCGTCTTTTATTAGATATGAATGCCGGGTTGTCGGAAATAGGTTTCATGGTCCCTCCCGAGGTATCTCCATAAGATTTGATTAAGATTGTGCGTGATGAGGACTCCCTGACGTTTTTCTTGTTAACCGTCTTTTCTTTTAATAGTCATTGTCATTAATTCCCAAACAAGACGAAGATATCGGCAAATTTTTAGATGTATTCTACGACGAGCTTATACCGAAATTGGTAAAACCAATATTCGATTTACCGGAACTCGAAAAGGACGACGGTAAGAGTGATCCAAGTTTTTATGATTGCGCGTCATCACCGTCGCTAATCAATCAATTTCCTACATGCGATCGACAGACATACTTGATTTATCACCTGACAAAGCTGCTTTATGCTATCACATATGCGAGCTCTTGTCATTTATTATACGACAGCACACCTTTAGAAGCAAATATTTTGTAATTTCCACAAATGTAACTATGAAGATGTGTTCATTATTAAAAACTCGAGAAACCTACGTAAAATTAGGTGAGTTAAACAGACCCACTTCCCCATGTCAAGTGACAAAAATTAACAAACCTTTTTTTTTTAACTGCCCAAAGCTGCGTTGAGATGTTTCCGCGCTTGTATAGGAATGAAAGAAGAATTCTATAACAGGCACTTGGTGAGAAACAATCACCTGGAGCCTATAATACACTTGCTCGTAGGGACCAATGGAAAAAATAATTTGCTAAATTCGGCATGTCTCGAATTATTCGAATTCATACGAAAGGTAATGAATATTTTTCGACTCATTTATTTCGGTCATCATTCATAAGTCACGCGTTCATAAGCATTCTTTTTCACATCAAGGAAAATATCAAGCCCCTGGTCAATTCCATCATGGAAAAGTATGGTGATCAACTGATAAAAATTGATTACGTCGATACTTTCCGTCAACTTCAACTTCGTTACGAACAAAACAAAGAGGTCCTCGTTAAACCCGACAAGTCGCCCGGAGAGTCTAGCCAAAGGTATGCATTTTTTGCTTGGAAGAAGCATTTATTAAACGTTTATTATTATTATTATTATTATTGTGTTGACCACGATCTACTTACTTGATCATAGTCAAAATAATACTCAGCAAATGGGCCACGAAGGGTGGTCGTCGGGTGTGATTGACGAAGACGAAGAGGCTTACTTTAACACGTCGGACGACGAAGATAACGGTGTATCCGTAGAAACTTCAAAAACTGACACGACTTCAGTTGAGGAGGAAACAAAGGATGGATTAAAGTCGGAGAGTGATTCTTCGGGAGAATCCAAAGAAGCGGACTCGGCGAAAGCTTCAAATGCCGGTAAAGTGGGTTTGGTCGATTATCCGGATGAAGATTATGACAACGAGGATGTGAAAAAGGACACTACCGAGCCTATGGCTCTTGATAAGTCTAAGGCGTCTTCATCACCTCCATCGTCTCCACGACCAAGTCTCCCCGTCATAGGGAAAAGATCACGAGATGACGATGATGATGATGACGATCTTTTGATAAGAGCAAAGACTCATCAGGCTTCTGCTAGTGAGTCATCTTTGCCGTCAAACGGGACCTCCACAAGGAAGGCCGGTTTAAAAATCTTGAGATCATCCCAAACCTTAAGGCCGAAATTAAAGAAGGCACGAATGGAATAGTTTCGATGTGAAAGATTGTGATATATCTATTAATGTTTGGTATATCCTTACTTTAAATTATTATTTTGTGGTTAAGGTAATTTATCTGCAGAAATCCAGGTGTAGACAATATTTGTCAGCGCTTCTTATATATATACGTATAGATATATATATTGTAAATTGATCAACTGATATTGTTCTATCCATATATTCTTTTTTATAATTTCCCCGTATAAATCGTAGAAGAAATATCCTTCAGAGCTTCACCATAATTTTAAAATAAAAAATTTTGTATTATCATTTTATTTTTTTTATGTATATATGCATTTTCTAAAACATACAAATATAAATCGTTCAGTATTATAGTGGTCGATTATTATTAAATATCTTATTTTTATATCTGTATGTCGGAAATGTTTTAAGTATAGAAAAAGTGAATATAATTTTTAGACATTGTTTTATTATTAAATTGTTAATTGTATTAAATTCAGATATTTAACAATCCAACTGTATATTTGAATTGTAATTTCAATGATAATAACAATAATTAAATCATTGTGGTTTGTGGTAAAATTATTATAATTTCTTCATTTAATAATCAATAGACATTTGAAAAAAAAAATATACTCTGATCAGTACACCTTTTGTAGTGCATCTTTACCATCATTTCTTTCTTAAATGTACTCTAGTTCTAAGAAAGAAACATCATATATTGTATACATGTATGACGATCATAAATATATTTGATTAAATGTAAGATATATTGCAAATAATAATTGTTAGAGATAACAATGTAAAGTAAAGCAGCTTGGAACCTTAAAATTTGCCCAAATTTATGAATTTATGTGTAACAAAGACTAGTGTGATCGATCATCAGGTTGTACACCAAAAATATATATTTTAATAACTCTATTTCATGTGAACCCATCGTGTCAAAATTCACTATCACGAAGTATAAATGTAACTCACTTTCACCATTCGCCGTTACCAGAATTTCAAGCTTCTTTACTCATTTATCCAACCCTACAAAAGCTGTCGCTCATCCAACTTCATAATGACAGATTCTTTCACGAATAACGAGTTTCCTATCAGAAATAAATGGAATACTGGCGGATATTCTGCCGAATCTTTATGGTGGCATGCCGACGAGAAGGTCAAGGAGAACTCTGGTGAAAACGTTGTTTTCTTGATGGTCCCAGGTAATCCAGGTGTTATCGATTACTACATTTCTTTTCTGATGACCATTCACGAAGAACACGAAAGAAAAATTGATGTTATTGGAGGTGAGGCTTGTCGCATTTTTTTTTTTTTTCCAATATCTTTTTCTATCACTAAAGTTGCATACCTTCCCGCTCCAAGTTTCCAATATCGGTCATTCGCACGAACCACAAGACAAAAACTCGGATACCTTATATTCGTTGCAAGATCAAATTGATCATAAGATTCAATGTTTCGATGAGTTACGCGAGAAATTCACAAGAAACAGCCTTCCGCCTAAAGTTATTTTGTGTGGTCATTCTATAGGCGCCTACATATGTTCACAGGTACGTCTAACCTAGATGACTGTTGTTTAATTATCCTATATGATTTACATTAATCATCCCGATTATAGGTATTGAAAGCGCGTCCAAATCATGGAATCATCAATATATACTCGTTATTTCCTACACTACAACATATGAGAAAAACTCCCAATGGTGTTATGCTAAATGTATGCTATGTTGATTTTTATTTGATCCGTAATAAATTTATATTGATTTCAACTCTATTGCGACTGTCGATAGTTCCTCTTTGGAGAAAGTCAAAGAAACCTTGCGAGTTCCTTTATTCAATCAATCCGTTATCTTTTGGCCCCCAGAATTTTTAAATTCGTAGTAAAATTATGCACCTTTCAATCAGAACCGCAACTATCAGTCACCACCGAGAAGCTACTTCATGGTCCAATAGTTAAAAATGCTCTCTACATGGCTAACACCGAGATGGAAACTGTAAAAGAACTGGACGAAGAAATATATAGACAACACCTTGAAAAATTTGTCTTTTACTTCGCGGCCGGTGACAATTGGGCTCCTTTAAGTCATTATAATGATATGTTAAAGAGATTCCCTGATGGAAACATCATATTATGCGATCAAGGGCTTCCTCATGCTTTTGTAATTGGTAAGTAATCTTTATTTTCTCATCCTTAATTCATGATTGGTGTTAAATTTATCGTTTAATTTCTTATCCTACAAGGTCATGGCGAAAAGATGGGAATAAGAGTTGCGAGTTGGATCGGAAAAACGCTCGAGATTTAACACTATCACTACATTTATTAATGGCATTTTATCATTAGTTATATTTGCATCCTGCCTGATGATATATATTAATCACATTTGCCTAATATTACTACTGTGTAACCTGATAAAAAACTAATTATCATATGTAATTTAAAGTTCAAATAAATCATTAATGAGATATTGATTATCAAGGTTTTTGCTTGATGTTGAATTTTATTTTCTTTGCTGTATATATCTAGAGAAATTTTCTTTGTAATTAATAATTTATGAATTTAAGAAAATTTTTAAAACTCATAAAGATACCAAATAGTCTAAATTTTAATTTTTTATTAAAATAGAAACCCACTTATCTTCTTTTATAAAGTATTATTTTATTTATTCAAATTATCAATCATAGGAAGAATAATTATTATTTAAATTACAAACATCAACCTTAATTTTTTAATTAACGTTTTTACAGAATATGAATTCCTTGTATTGGGGTTTGGGGTCAAAAAAAGCGAATCGTGATTTCGGATAAATATTCGATGATTAAATGTTTATTTTTCATATTTGCAAGTAAATTTTATCAATAACTGGAACTTCGTGAATAGCAAATTCTATTGCCTATTTCTCTTTGTAAAAGCATTATACAAAAGTGTAATGTAACAAATATTAATTACAAATAAATTGCAAGAGTGAAACTATTTTAATAGAAGAGTATAAAAGATTGAGCCCCCAATATATGCCTATAACTGATATTGAATAATTCATATGTTATTAGGTTCATTGCTTCCACTTGCAGATGAATGATCGCTGGGACCAGCGGTTACGGGATAAGTGATTCGTTTATCAGGTGATATTAATGAAGTTTCTGAGCCACCTTCCATGTCATCTCCTGCACTCCAGTTTAAGAGAGCACACGGCATACAGCAACCTGTACAGCAAAGGGAAAATGATAAGATAATAAATACGGGAATGAAAATTGATGACAATTTTATGCCCGTATGACCGTCCAGTCTGCTCGCCAATAATCCCACCACGGTATAGAATAAAGCTCCTGCAACAACAAATGCAATAACCCGAGTCACAACGCCCATCATCCCTCTCTCTTGTAAAGGTTCATGTTTCCTTAAATTATTCCACAGAATAAAAATCGAAAGAGCGTATCGAAGCCCAATAAGGTATAACGGAATAAAAACAATACCCCAACTGCAGGTAATAACTTGGTCAATCCTTAGAACAATCAATATGGCAAGTGCTACTCGGATTAAAAGCCACCAGAAAGTCTCTACAAATAACCTGATCTTGGCTCTCCTAGAAGGCATGCCATCGGTATCATATACCCTAGCAGAACTTATCATAACGATATATTCTTCAACGTTTGGATATATGTTAAGTAATTCAACAATAAAATAAGGCGTAAACACAATAGCGGCACTCCATTGTATTATACCATCAGCTCGAATTACTATAAATACTTGAAACGCGAATATTAATAGCAAGTAAACAAAGGCCAACATATTCCTTGACTGAATAATCCTCTTTTGCTGTTTTCGTCTTTCATCTCTTGCTTGCTCTCTAGCCTCTGGATCTCCATGATATGAATCTTCGAAATCATCATCAATTTCACTTTCCTCCGAAGAGCTCTTTCTTACTTGTATAACTAACACAAAAAATAGTAAGAAGTCAACTATCCATAAGGGTATGAACACGATACCAAAGCTCCATGATACCGATCCATCTATTCGTATTGACAGGAAGGTGAAGAACAGGATTAAGAGGATGACTAATAGCGAGATAATAGTGAAAGCCAAACATAAAGGTCCTTCGATGTCTGGATCCACCAGGAAACCGGCCATCGAATCCAGCATGCTAACGCCCATTTCTCCATATTTATCATATACTGAGCGTTTTTTGGGGTCACTTAATATTTCATATGCGTGAGTAATAGCCTTGAACTTTTAATGGTGAATGAATAGACGGATAGAATTTACTGGCATTAAAGCGCTGAAATATACTATTGCGTTCTACAAAAAAATTCAAAACGTTAAATGCACAAACCTGATCGGCTGCATTTGGATTTTTATCTGGATGATATCTTAGCGCTAAACGCCGGTATGACTTTTTAATCTCTTCTTCAGTAGCATCTTTTCGCACACCCAAGGTATTGTATAAAGCGTGTGTATCCCGCTCCATGCTACTGCAAATATTTTTGGAATAACGTGTGCGGGGCGGTTATGTTTTTGAAATCAAGAAATCCGCAAGTGAAATGCCAATTTCCCTCCTGCTTCCTGCTTAATCCGCGAGTATTCCGCGTACTGACTTTTTTGGGTTTGCAGCGGATCTTTTATATCTATGACATGACGTACTGTATTCATATGACGCGCACCACACGGATCATCGTGGCTATACATGTAACACTAATTGTGCAACGTTGTAAAATATTCCTGTTTTGGTATTTAAACTCGGTGCCAAAGAAACAAAGGACCTGCTTCAAACAAAAAAATGGACCCAAATTTAGGAATCAAGTATGTTCATCTAAAAACTAATTGTAATTTACTTAGTTTATGCGAGATTTTAATTTTTAAAGAAACTTGAAACTAAACAAAGGACAATTGTTTCAATTATGCATATAGTAAAATAAGTATTTTACTAAAGAAAATTTTCAAGTAAATATTTTTACAACATGCAACTCCATTTAAAAAAAAACTATTAAAGTTAGATATTATAATAATTTAACAAACAAAATCAAATCAAAAAAGTTTTTTTTAATAATTTAATATAATACTTTTTATCTTAAATTATTTAAATTATGAATAAATTTCTATACTTTATTATCATTCAATAAATCAAAATAAAAATTTTATCATTAATACCATCAAGAAAAAAAACAATTTTTTATAAATATATATATTAATTTATAAATAATATAATACTTATATTTATATTTATACTTATTATCTTAAATCAATATTTAATCAATATTTTTTTGTTTGTTTTTAGTTAATAAAAAAATTTCCATTTCTTAAAATATTATTAAAAAACAAAAAAATATTAATTTTTTATTAATTTTTTAACAATTATTTCAAATAATATTTAATAATTATTATTGTTTTTTTTTACTTATACAATATATGTAATTTATTAAATAAAATTAAATAACTTGTTTTTTTTATTTTTATTATACTTAATAATATATATTTTTTTTATGTCATATGATTATTTTGTTTTAAATTAATAATATTCAATTTTTTAAATGTTTTTTATATAAATAAATAAATAAATAATTATTTTTTTTTTTTCTTTATCAGATTAAATTTTTATAAATATATTTGTTATATTTTATCTTTTTAAATATATAATTAAAATTAAAATTTTATTCTATTTATAAACTTATAATTAATATATATATTAATATATATATATAACTATTTATATATATAGTATAATCCAATATTAGTATAACTATAGTATTAATATTCTTCTTATTTTAAAAAATAAAATAAACAATCAAATATTTATTTTTATATTAAAATATTATACTAATTGTATTTTTCAAATCAATTTTCATTTATTTCATTTTTTTTTTAAAAAATCTTAAATAAATATTTATACCTATTTAATTATGTAAAATAATAATAACAAATTTTTTCAAATTTAAAAAAATTATTAGAATATTAGTTTAAATTAAAATAATTTAACCTTTATTATATTTATTATGGTATAGTAAAAATAAATTATTTTAATTTTTTTATTAATACAATTATTGTAAATATTGAAGTAATATGTTACAATATGTATATTAAATTAAATATAGATATTTGAAAAAATAATAAAATTAAAAAGGTTTTATCAAATACAAAATTGAATGATATTATTTACATAATATAAAAATAAAATACAAATGATATTAATAATATAATATATTTAAAAAAAAAGTATTAAAAATCTAAAAAATATATTATTATGAATCTTTTTTTATACAATTAGAAATAAGTAAACATTCAAAGTTAATTATTTCTTGAGTGTACATTTCAAGTTTAAAATAAATTGGTTTTATTTATTATTAAATATAGTTTAAATTTATCAAAGGTCTTTCTTCACAATTCCAATGCATAGAAAATTTTCTTTTAAAAAAAAACATATTTCAAAAATTTTCTCTTTTTAAAGAGACCTTTGTTTATTACTTTCCAATTTATAAAAAAATTCGGTATCAGTACTAATAAAGATCAAAAAACGAACGTATTTGGTTTTTGACAAACGCCACCAGGTGAAACCCGTTTATTCGATAAAGACAAGTGACGCAATAGGTGATTCTAAGAATAGTTATTGATCATGCACGAAG